CAAAAAAATCTCTAAAAAAAAAAAAAAAGAAAGAAAGAAAGAAAGAAAGAAAGAAAGAAAGAAAGAAAGAAAGAAAGAAAGAAAAGAGAAAAATCCACCAGGTGCATGAGCATGTGTGCCCCAAATCTCAACAGGAAGAAGAAATGGAAAAAGAATTGTGGCGTGACCATGCCCCATTGGGGACTGTGTTCTCCCTCTCCCTCTCTGTCTCTCTCTGAAGACCACATATGCCTTAGGACAATTAAAAAAAAAAAAAAAAGGCGACTCTCAGCCCTGAGCACACAGGCCCTTCCATACCCACCACTACTGGGGAAGGAGCCACCAGCCCACTTTACAGATGGGGACACCAAGGGGAGGACCTTGACCCCCGTGCTTCCAGGAGTGGGACTTATGGCTCCAGGGTCAAAAAGACATGAGCTCAGGTCCTGGCTCTGCTATTTCTTAGGATAAGGCCTTGTGAAGGCCACTGAGCCTCAGTTTCCCTATCTGTGAAATGGAGGTCCTTGCAGTCCCAGCCTCACAGGCTGGCCACGAGCCTTGGGGGACTGCAGAGATGCTGGGACGCACTTGGCACAGGGCCAGCGCACAGACTTCCTGCATGCTCTCGTCCTGGGACGAGGATCAGCCCATCCGTGAGCTCAGGCAGGCTCCTTTGAGAGCCTCAGTGTCCTCATCTGTACAGGGGACAGTGGGACTGCGTCTCCCAGGCCTGGCCAGGGGAACCTGGCCAACCACCCTTCTGAGCCCCAAGAGGCTCCGCCCATCTGGCTATCCTTCACCATAGAGGCACTGGGGAGCCATGGAGGGTATTGTCGCTCACCATGCCCAGGAAGTCGTTCTTGCCCACCATGTCCCAATCCCAGAGCTCCACCCGCAGTGGAGACGGGCCACCGGGTGTCTCCCAAAGCTCCAGCACCTCATCCCAGTGTGGGAAGCGAGTCTTCTTGATGGTCTACGGGGTGGGGAAAGTGGACTGTGAGTGAGAGAGCTGACGGGAACCCCCTCCACCAGACGTCCGGCTCTTCCTCTCCGAGCCCCACCACTCACCGAGGTCTCCAAGCTCTGGTTGCCCCAAAACACACGTGCAAATGGGTCGGACGTGCCAGAAATGTCTCGGGGGGCCAGGTCCCTGGGGACAATGAGGAAAGGAATGAAGGGACATCGGACCTGAGGCCCAGACCCGAGTGAGCCTTGCAAAGGGGGTTCAGGGTAGATGAATCAATGCTGCTGGTTTCCAAGGCAATGAACTCTCCCACCAGAGGGGCCCAGCAAGGGGGCTCCCCTCGCCATGGCCATCCATCCAAATCCAGTCTCATCCTGTCGCCTCGCACGGCCCCAGGGAGCCACCAGTATGCTGGCACTTCCCAGACGGGTCTGGGGAAACCAAGGCCAGAAAGGTCAGGTCCTGCATCACACAGCCAGGCAGTGACAGTGCAGTGAGGAGGAGGAGGGCACCTCAGCGTCCCTGGAGGCCCCGAGCAAGCGGGAGACTTGATGCAAGGGCCGGAAGCCTGGCTCAGCACACAGTGGCTGGGTGACACGAGGAAGTCGCTTTGCTGCTCTGAGCTCTTACTTTCCTCATTTGGAAAATAGGGGTGTAGTAGATGAGCCTCAGGGTCAGGTGGTGGTACTGCAACTGGAGTCACATGGGAAAAGTCCTGGGTTCGTGACCTGGGTCCTCTGTGAGCATGCAGGACACATGCATGCGTACTCGTGGTCCAGATGGTTGAGGTTAGGCGTGGATTGCAGCATGCAAACCCTGTGGGGGCCTCTCTCTCTCTCTCATAAATAAACTTTAATAATAAGCAGAGGGACCAGCAGTTAGCATAATGACTATGTTGCTGGACTCCCATGTAGTCGACCGCGGTTCGTGTCCTGGACCCAGTGGCTTAAACTCACACCGGGCACGTGCGCGTGCATGCCCAAGATCCCAAGAGGAGAATGGAGGGGAAGGGATTGCGGCGTGGCCATCCCCCCGGGGGGTGATTTCTCGCTTTCTGTCTCTCTGTCTCTCTCTGTCTTTCTGGCAAGTGCACGCGCCCTATAGCAAAAACCTCTAAAGTTAAATAGATAAATAAATAAATAAGCAGACTGGGGCCAGCAGGTGGCGTGGTAGTTAAGGGCACTGGACTCCTACATGGCCGAACACTGTTCGAGTCCCGGACTTGGTGGCTTGCTTTCTCACTTTTTCTCTCTCTCTGGTCAAAATTTAAATAAATAAATAAATTTAGATAAAATATATTTTTTTAAATAAGCAGGGTTAAATGAGATGCTGTGTATAAAGGGCTTGCCATAACACCTGGCAGCCCTCAACTCATTCACAGTCGGCCTAGGAACCACCCGTGGGTGTGAGACAGAGACGCCCTGCCTCGGGTTGCCAGGATGACCCCAAAGTCTCACCCAATCAGCCTCCCCGGTCCTCCTTCTTGAGAGCCCCAAATCCAGGACCCCGCTCCCCACCAGGGGCTTCCTGCTCCCTCCTCCAGCGCGCCTCCCACCCCTGCTCCGCATCCAAGCCTTCTTGGTTTCCTAGGAGCCAGCCCAGTTGCTAAGCGACAGCAATCAGTCCCTCTCCTGTTTGCAAGAATTCTGCACAGCCTCGCGGTTGGTTGGGGAGGGGGCCCGAGGACAGAAACAGGCGAGGAGCCCTTGCCCCACACGGAGTCCTCGGGTCTGTCTCCTGGTTCCCCCTCCTCCTGATTCCAGGAGGTTCCAGGAGAGGCCAAAGCTGAGGATAGATTCTGAAGGTGGTGGGGAGGACACAGAGAGGGCAAGGAAGGGCTTTATGGTCACACAGCAAACTAGAAACACGGATCCTCTCCAGCCTGGCCAAGGGCCAGCCTGAATGTGAGGGTTAGAGGAGTCAAGTGAGAGAAAGGGCAGAAAGACCAGAGGGGCAATGAGGAGGGGAGGGGGGAGGTATTTAAGGGGCAGGGTATGGGAGAGCTGAGGAAGGGAGGAGGAGTCACAGCAGAGCAAGAGCGAAGATGCATGCCCTGAGCGGGGGTCCCTGGAGGGCCTTCTGTGGCCTTGCTGGCTCTGCATCTGTCTTCCCTCTGACCCCTTCCCTGGGACAATAACTACCTCCCTCTCTCCCAGCTCACATGACTTACATGGGCCAATCTCTCCTGGGGCTTGTGCCTCAGGCCTGACCAATCAGCCAGTGTGGCGGGCCCGGAGACAGGCACATGCCCCAGACTGAACCAGCGAGCGTCTTTCCCAGGACATTGGTTGAGAATGGAGAGAAGCAGAAATTTCCAGTTGGAGCAGCTAAGTTGGCCAGATGCCAGCCTGGGACTGCTAGGGTCATGTTTGTCTGCACCTAGGCAGAGGCCGCCTAAGAGTGACATTAACCCAGAGGACAGCAGAGCCAGAAGACAGTGATGTCACCACTTGAGTACCTGGATCCAGCCGTGCCTGAAGCCACACATCCTCCTACGAGCCAATACACTAGCTCTTTTGCTTAAGCTAGTATGAGTTGGGTATCTGTCAGTCACCACCGAATACACTTGCAACTCATCTGTCCAGCCATCCTGAAGGTCTGAGCAGTTGTTCTGGCCACTGGGGACCCAACAATGATTTTGGTGATCTTGGGTTGGATCGTTTGTATCCGTGAGCTCAGAAGGACCGCAGGAGTAAGGAAGTCCCAAAGGTCGGGGAGCTGAGGGAGACCCAGGAGATTCCTGTTCATTTCAGACCACCCCTCGGCCCGCCTCCATGGTGACCATACCTGGCTTGGAGCACATGGCAGCGAAGGCACCGGCCCCGCACGTCTTCCAGCATCTGCACCGCCAGACGGATCTCACCCTGCACCTCGGCATCTGGGTCCACAGGGCTCAGGTTGATCCAGCTGTCGATCCCTGGGGGGCACGGGCGCAAACACTGAGTAAACACCCGCACGTCCTAGGCACCGTGTGCACATGTCAAACATGCATGACGTCACGGGCTTCTCACGTCAGCCCTGGGCTGTAGGTACTGCAGTTGTTCCCGTTTCCAGATGAGGAAAATTTCTTTCTTTTTTTTTTTTTTTTTGGTGGGGGGAGAGGTTTTCACTATAGGGTGCGTGCACTCGCCAGACAGACAGAGAGAGACAGAGAGACAGAAAGCGAGAAATCACCCCCAGGGGGGATGGCCATGCTGCAATCCCTTCTCCTTCATTCTCTTCTCGGGATTTTGGGCACGCACGCACATGCACCCGGCGTTGAGTTTAAAGCCACTGGGTCCGGGATGCGAACCGCAGTTGACTACGTGGGAGTCCAGCGACATAGCCATTACGTCAACTGCTGGTTCCAAAATAAATAATTCTTTTTTTAAAAAAAAAAACACCTGTTGTTTCTCAATTGATTGCTGTTATTGCTGGCCTTTCTTGTAATTACAAATTTTATTTTATTTTTAATTATCTATTTAATTTTGTTTTGTTTTGTTTTTTTGTTTTTTTGAGAGGGTTTTTTTTTTTTTTCACTATAGGGCGCGTGCGCTCGCCAGACAGACAGAGGGAGGCATAGAGACAGAAAGCGAGAAATCACCCCCCAGGGGGGATGGTCACGCCGCAATCCCTTCTCCTCCATTCTCCTCCCGGGATCTTGGGCACGCACGCACACGCGCCCGGCGTGAGTTTTAAGCCACCGGGTCCGGGACACGAACCGCGGGCGACTACGTGGGAGTCCAGCGACATAGCCATTACGCTAACTGCTGGTTCCCTCTATTTAATTTTATTTATTCATTCATTTATTTCCATTTGACCAGAGAGAGACACAGAGAGAGAGAGAAAGGGAGAGGAAAAGTGAGAAAGCAAGCCTCCAGGTCCGGGACTCAAACTGTAGTCAGCCATGTGGGAGTGTCCAGTGCCATAACCACTATGCCACCAGCTGGTCCCAAAAAATTTTATTTCTTTAAATATTTCATTCTTTTTTATGTCCTGGATACCATAATTACACAATCTAAAGTCTTCATGGATCTAATCCTGGTGGTCATTATTTCTGCTGACTTGGGCTTACGATGGCCCATTTCCTTGTGTGACTGGTGATCTCTGGTCGGGAAGTCATGTGTGTTTGAACTCGGGCTGGGGGAGACTTAGAGTGAAGATGCTTCTCTATGGAGAAAAAATGGCCGTTACTTATTCTAGGACCATTTGAAGGTCTCAGTCTAATAGATAATTCCCATGCTCAGTTATATACACCTTGCCCCCAGCTCAAGCCTCTGTGTTGACAAAGGACTTGACAGTGACATGTACTTTATTTTTATTATTTTTTTTATTGGTTTTTGCTATAGGGCGTGTGTGCTTGCCAGAAAGACAGAGAGAGACAGAGAGACGGAAAGCGAGAAATCACCCCCCCCGGGGCGGGGGGGAGGGTGGCCACGCCGCAAATCCCTTCCCCTCTATTCTCCTCTCAGGATCTTGGGCACACACGCACAAGCTCCTGGCATGAGTTTAAGCCACCATGTCCAGGACTCAAACCATGGTCGACTACATGGGAGTCCAGCGACATAGCCATTACGCTAACTGCTGGTCCCTAGTTTTATTTATTTTTTTTTTTTTGAGAGATATAGGGTACATGCACTTACAGAGAGGCCAAGAGAGGCAAAGAGACAGAAAGCAAGAAAGCACTCCTTGGGAACCAGCAGTTAGCGTAATGGCTATGTCGCTGGACTCCCACGTAGTCCACCATGGTTCACGTCCTAGACCCGGTGGCTTAAAACTCACGCCGGGCGCGTGTGCGTACGTGCCCAAGATCCCAAGAGGAGAATGGAGAAGAAGGGTCGGTGGGATGGCCATCCCCTCTGGGGGGTGATTTCTCGCTTTCTGTCTCTATCTCTCTCTCTGTCTGGCGAGCGCACGCGCCCTATAGTGAAGAAAAAAAAAAAAAAAGAAATCACTCCCCAGAGGGGATGGCCATACCACCGACCCTTCTTCTCCATTCTCCTCTTGGGATCTTGGGCACGTACGCACACGCTCCTGGCATGAGTTTAAGCCACCATGTCCAGGACTCGAACTGCGGTTGACTACATGGGAGTCCAGCGACATAGCCATTATGCTAACTTCTGGTCCCTACTTTTATTATTTTTTGAGAGATATAGGTTACATGCACTCACTAGAGAGACCGAGAGAGACAAAGAGACAGAAAGCAAGAAATCACTCCCCAGAGGGGGATGACCATACCACAGTCCCTTCTCCTCCATTCCCCTCTTGGGATTCTGGGCATGCATGTACATGTCCCCAGCATGAATTTCAAGCCGCTGGGTCCAGGACTGGAACCTCAGTCAGCCATGTGGGAGTCCAGCGCCTTCACCACTACACCATCTGCTGGTTCTGACAGTGACATGTACTTTCAGGAAAAATCTTCCTTACCCCCTTGCTTTATGACCACCGCTCCTTGCTAGGTTATAGCTTCTGATCTGCAGTGGGTAAGATTCCGAGGAATTTTCCTTCTTTACAGCCAGCCAGCAAAGGCTCAGGAATCCTGTGTGAGTCAGAATCTCCCTCTTATGGGGTAGGAGGGCCCTTCTGGGGGTCTAAGCCACTACGCCGCAGGAAATGGAATGTCCATCACGTCTCTCCCTCCACTGCTACCTCCAAGTGCAACACACCAACAGCTTTCTCTCTCGATTACAGCAATGAGCTCCTAACGGATCTTCCGCAGCCAGGCTTGTCCTGCCGTGACCCGGTATCCACAGAGCCGTTGCAGAGAACTTCTGAAAGCCCAGCCGATCTCTCCTACCACTCCATCTTCTGATAATGATGCAGTCCCACTCTTTATTGTCTTGCTCAAGAGCCATCGATGGCTCCCCACTGCTTCCAGAAGAAACTCTAGAGCCTGACTCTGGCCCGGTATCTAAGGCCCTCTCCGGTCAACCTCAAGCCAAGTGCTCCATTTGGCCAGGCCTACACCTAACTCTGGAAGAGAATTCGTAGAGAGGCACCTTAATGCCTTTACCAGTGCGTTAGGTAAGGACCGACCATCTCTCTTCCTCCAGGATGTCTTCCTTGATCACAATAGCCTTTACTACTCTCTTCTCATCATCGTCATGCCAGTGATGTTCCTCATACCTCCACCTCCACCTCCACGTTCTGTTTAAAAAACAAAAACCAGGGCCAGCAGATGGCTTGCTGGTTAAGGCACTGGGTCCTACATGGCCAACTCTGCGGTTGTAGCTCCTAGCCAGGAAGCTTGAAACACATGCCAGGCCCATGTGTGTGCATGCCCAAGATCCCGAGAGGAGAATGGAGGAGAAGGGATTGCGGCGTGGCCATCCCCTCTAAGGGGTGATTTCTCACCTTCCCTCTCTCGCTGTCTCTCCCCATCATCCTCTGTGTCCCTCTCCGACAACACTCTGTCTCTCTCCAACCAGCACACACACCCTATGGCAAAAAAATCTAAAAAATGAAAAAAGATGGGAACCAGCAGTTAGCGTAATGGCTATGTTGCTGGACTCCCACGTAGTCGACCGCAGTTCGCATCCCGGACCTGGTGGCTTAAACTCACGCCAGGCGCGTGTGCGTGCGTGCCCAAGATACCAAGAGGAGAATGGAGGAGAAGGGATTGCAGCATGGCCATCCCCCCCTGGGGGGTGATTTCTTGCTTTCTGTCTCTATGTCTCTCTCTGCCTGTCTGGCGAGCGCATGCGCCCTATAGCGAAAACCTCTCTAAAAAAAAATAATAATAATAAAATAAAAAATAAAAAAAGCACGCACATGCAGACCTAGGGGCAGTTTCCTTCTTTTCTTGCCACGGACTCTGTACAAGTGCGTTTTGCTTTCCTATCTAGTCTGTAAGCCCCTGGAAGCCAGGTTTCCTATTTCATTCCTTTATTCTGCCCTTCTAGTATTCGAAGGAATCATGTCAGGACCAGCAGATAGCATAATGGTTATGTGGCTGGACTCCCACGTAGTCGACCACAGTTCGAGTCCCGGAACCATGGCTTAAAACTCACACCGGGCGTGTGTGTGTGCATGCCCAAAATCCGGAGAAGAGAATGGAGGAGAAGGAATTGTGGTGTGGTCATTCTCCCAGGGAGTGATTTTTCACTTTCCCTCTCACTGTCTCTGTCTCCCCCTATCTCCAGCAAGTGCCCACACCCTAAGGCAACCTCTAAAGAAAAACAAACTGATAATGGTTTTGCACAAGCATGGGGTGTGTAAATGATTTCTTCCCCCATGAGGTCATCATTACCAAATATGCAAAAGTGCACCCTCTGACCCAACAACTCTCCCCTGTTATCTGATTGGTTCCCGTGGCCTGTGTCTGTGTGGCATCGTGTTTGTACCGGGCTGTTCACTGCAGCAGGGCTGGAACCAGGGAAAGCGCAAGAATACCCGGTGCCGCCCGTGCTTCCTCATTCCCATCCCCCCTCTCTCCGGTCAAATTAAAATAAATGAATCAATGAAATTAAAATGATTGTTAAAGAATGCACACGCACACAAACTCCAGAACCAGACAGCCTTCCTGCCAATGCTGGTACAGCTCCCAAGGTGGATTTTTTTTTTCTTTTTTTTTTTTCAAATAATTATTTATTTAATTTTATTTATTCATTCATTTATCCTAATTTGACCAGAGAGAGATACACAGAGAGAGAGGGAGGGAACGTGAGAAAGCAAGCCACCAGGTCCAGTATTCGAACCGTAGTCGGCCATGTGGGAGTATCCAGTGCCTTAACCACCACGCCACCTGCTGGTCCCCCAAGATGGATTTTCTTGTTTCACGTAGTAACTCTGTAATCTTGAACAAGTCCTTTCACCCTCTGTGCTTCCGTTTATTCACCTATAAAGTGGGAGTAACACAAGTACCCACCTCACAGGGTCATTATGAAAACTGAGTGAATAGGGACCAACAGTTAGTGTAATTACTATGTCGCTGGACTCCCATGTAGCCGACTGCAGTTCGAGTCCTAGACCCGGTGGCTTAAACTCACACCGGGCACGTGTGCGTGCGTGCCCAAGATCCCGCAAGGAAAATGGAGGAGAAGGGATTGTGGCATGGCTATCCCCTCTGGGGGGGGATTTCTCGCTTTCTGTCTCTCTGTCTCTCTCTGCCTTTCTGGTGAGCACAAGCGCCCTATAGCAAAAACCTCTCAAATAAAAAAAAAAAATGAAGAATGATGATAATAATAAAATTTAAAAAAAAAACTGAGTGAGTCAAAACATGCAAAGCACTTAGAAAGCTAGCGTAAGCGCTAGCTGCTCTCAGTACTGGGGCTTGCACGGACATATAGAAAATCTCTCTACAGACGGCCGTGAACACCAGGGAGGGACAGAGTGGGGCGGGGTGGGGGAGAATTCCACTTCTCATTATACGATCTGAACATTAAAGTATGTACATGAATTAACCGCTTAATAAATGCCCTGAATTAAAAATGAAAGATTAAAAACCACAAAAGTCTTTCATCGTCCACCGAGGGCTCTGTGCATCTCTGTGCTGCCGCTATGCCCTGGCAAGTGCCTACTCTGGGCATGGCCACCCGCTCCCTCCCCTGGGAGAGCAGTGCCCTTTGCCCACCTCGGGGGTCCGCCACGATCGCCTCTCTGCTGAGCGAGATCTTGCCAATGACATCGTCATGTCTGTGGAAGGCGGGAAGATGGGGGTACGTGTCAGGGACCCCGTCCTGCCCATAGGGGTCACTTGACTGTGGGGAGAGGCCCCTGTCCCACCTCCCCTCAAGCACTCAGGCTTCGGTCCCCAGCACACATACCCCACCTGCCCCAGCCACACACCCGACAGTGTCCTCGTCCAGCACGTAGAAGGCCAGATGGTGGAAGTCTAGGGGCAGGTGCACCGTGTACTCCTCCCCCCAGAAGGGGCTCAGGCTCCGCCAGACCGTCGCTGTCCTGGAAAAGGGGGTCTGGGGCTCGGGCTCACAGTCTCACACACACACACACGCAGATCTGGGCACACACATGCCAAGAGACCCCCACAGGACCACACACATAGACCCTCCACATGCACACACACCTGGAACAGAGACCCCAAAGGCACACACAGGCCCGGACACTCACATCCCCAGACTCAGACGCTCATTAGAGAGCGCAACACACACACGGGCACATACTCAGACGCCAAACGCACACACACACACACACACACACACTCAGAGGCCCATGTGTGGCATACTAAGGGTCCAGACACACACGAACTCACAGACAGACACACCCAGCCACTTGCATGAGGATGCACACTGAGGCGGAGTGACACTCACAGATACACCGAGGGATCCAGAGACACAGAGATACAGTCATGCATACACACACATGCACACACACACACACACACGCGCACACACACGTGCACCCTTGGAAATCTCTAAAAGCACCTACTGTGTGTTTGTAATACCGACATGTACAGATAGACACAGAGAATACAGGCATTCGCATGGACAGACCCGTGTCTGGAATAAGGAGACGCACACAGACACCCACAGCCACACCCTCACCCTCGCATAGAGATACATGCGGATGCACACACGCACGTACAGAGTCCCACGACAGACACCCACAGGCACAATTCATTCATCCATTCATTCATTCACTCCGCAAACCTCACTGGGACTGTGGGCTGAGCCTGGGCAGAGCTCTGGAGACCCAGAGGAAGAGGACACCAGGCCCCTGTCCCCTCACCCCCGAGCCTCCTCCACAGGGTGCCCTCTCCTGAACTCTCAGACACCGAGGAAGAACGGTGTGACTGGGGTTAGCTCAGGCTCTTGTCTGAGCCTGGGGCTTGGGGTTGGGGGGTCAGGGAAGGCTTCCTGCAGGAGGTGGCCAGGCAAGAGGAGAGAGAGAGTGAGGACACATACTCCAGGTGGCTGGAACGGCACATGCAAAGGCTCTGGGGCAGGGAGGAGCTTGGTGACCTTGAGGGACAGGAAGTGGGCACGGAGACAGCCAGGAGACCTGAGGCTGGTGCGGGCCAGAGCATGCAGGTTGGCAGGGCTCACACCGTGAACAGGGGACCAAAGGAGGGCCAGGGACCAAGGCCCAGGAGCAGACACACACACAGCCTCTCTGCCCCGAAAGCCCTGCAGACACGCGTCCCTGTACCCAAAAGAAAACACAGACTCCACTTCACCCAGTGAAGACGCACACATTTTAAGGCTGCAAAATTTGGTTCCCACACTCGCAGCTCCTCCTTTGATTCACCACTCCCTCCCCCATAAAGAGCTCACAAACACACACATGCATGCACACGTGCACACCCTGCTCTCGCCACTGAGAACGGGGGCACCGCCATCAGAGGGACCCCGGGAGCTTCCTTCCAGACATCTTCTTCCCCTACCCTGGCCTTTGCCCAGCCAGAGGTTCCCCTAGGCTCCCCTACCCCTGAACTGGGAGACTCCTGGCAGCCCAGAGAGGGAGAGACTGCAGCCTGGAGTCACACAGAAAATCCATCTGTGGAACGGGGCAGAGGGCAGCCTGAGACAGGGAAAACACTGGGGGTGCTCAGCTGGGGTGCTGCAGCTCACCCCTCCCCGGATGGGCTCCCCGCCCCCAGCTCCTGGCCCATCTGGACCAAAACCAGTGCCAGGAGCATCCTGAATCCTGCCGTCTCCATAGGAACCAAGGCCTCAGCCGCCCGCCCACCCGCCCCTTCAGGCCTGCGGGGGCTGAGAGCTGTCCCTCGGCCTGCGGGGGTGGGAGTGCCTCGCAGCTCAGTGGACGCCCGCTCCGACACGCACGCACACACCAACACCCTCATGTGTGTTCACACTGGCGCCTGCACGCCTAGGCAGGGATTTGTACTCATGCACATGCACAGGCCAGCTCACGTGCCCGTGCACGCACACGCACACACACTACGTGGTACACACGCAAGCCCATGGGCCTGCACACCCACAGAAGCAAGCGTACGTGGCCACCGGTGTTCATACCAGGCTTGCAACAACCTTCCACCCCAACGCCCACAAACAGGTCCAGCCGGGTCAATATGGACACGCACGCACACACATGCATGCACACACACATGCATGCATACATGCACAAGTATGCACGCATGCATACACGCTAGTGCCCGCAGCACCCTGCAGGCCCGGATCCAGTCGTTCCAGCCAAGCGTGAGATGCCTGCCCCCGGGGAGGCCATCGTGAGAGACACGGGCTGGCAGCCGCTGAGTCAGCCCAGGGAGCCGGCAGCCAATGATCGGGACGAGACAGAGAGAGCACGCCTCCGTGTGGTGGGGCCGGCGTCCAGCCTTAGGGAGGCCAGGGCCATCTCCAGGCTGCAAGTACCCCGGGTTGGCACTGCCCTCCCCTGCGGCGCTCGCCCCAGGCCTGGCGTGTCCACTTCTCACCTGGCCACCACTTCGTCATCCACCTTCATGAGGCAGTAGGGGTCGCTGCTCCCAGACCTGTGGAAGGAAGCGTGTCAGAAGCGGGTACAAGAGAGACATGGTCTGAGGGGCCCGCACCACCTTCACTCTACAGATAAGAGTGAGTGAGGCCCAGAGAGGGAGAGGGCTTCCCCAGGGGCTCACAGCAAGTCCTGCTAACAGACTGGACCCCAGAGCACCAATGGGAGACACCCCCCACGTCCAGCCCTCCACGCACAGAAGCCTAGGGGTGGACCGCAGGGGCATGAGGCCCACGAGTCTGGACAGAGGTCAGGTGCGTGTCCTGTCAGGGCCTCCCACCTGGCCACACCTTCCCCTGGCTGTGTGACCCCTGACAAGTCCCCTCCCCTCCCGGCCTCAGCGTCTCTCTTCTATAAATAGGACATACATGAACACTTACCTCCTGGGCGGCGGGAGGAACGAAAGGAGAACCCCCCCACAGGGCATTACTGCCACCCTCTGGGACCCCCCATTCGTCAGCACTCAGTGAGGATGGCCTCTGCAGATTCTCACTGAGGGCACAGTTCTGGGGACCCGGACCTCAAAAGTGACCCAGGGAAAGGCGCGTTGTATCTCCTTGAGGAGCCACGAGTCAGCCAAAGCCAGCTCCACCCCCCCTTCATAATAAGAGGCACCACGAGGACCAGCCGCTGGCGTGGTGGTTAGGGCGCTGGACACTCCCACAGGTCGAGTGTCACAGTTTGAATCCCAGACCTGGTGGCTTGCTTTCTCACTCTCTCCCTCTGTGTGGGTGTCTGGTCAAATGAAAATAAATGAATGAGGGGCTGGCAGGTGGTGTAGTGGTTAAAGTGCTGGATTCCCACATGGCCGGCTGTGGTTTGAGTCCCGGACCTGACGGCTTGTTTTATCTCTCTCTCTAGTCAAAATTAAAGAGTAATGATAATAAATAAAATAAAAATAATCCATTTACAAATAAATAAATTAAATTAAAGTAAGCATTTAAATATAAAAAAAGACACCATGAACCAAGAGCCGCCTCCATCCCCCCTTCACAATACGAGTTACCAGTAAATCCCAAACTGTCTCCCAGCGCCCCCTTTTTTCCTGCCCCAATCCCACCACACAGGTTTTCTTTGTCCTGCCTTCGAGGTAGTGCCAGCCTCAGGACTTCAGCCTTCGCTGTGTCCTCTGCTTAAGGCACTCTGAGCCTGATCCTGTCATGGCTGGCTCCTTCTTGTCATTCAAACCTCCAATCCAAATGTCACCTCCTCAGAAAGGCCCTCCCTGATTACCATCATTCTAAAAGAAGCATTTAAGAGCATCTGGCTGTCTTAGTTCTCCAGGTGTTCAGCCCCTGTCCCCGAACCTCCCCCAACTTCCGAACTCTGAGCTCCTGGGAGGGGTGGGGGTCTGCCTCCCCTTTCTCCTCCCCACCCCCTCTTGGCTCCCCCATCGCCTCTCTGTTCAGTGTGTCACAGAGCCACAAATGTGACAGGGATTCAAGGAAGACAGACGTGGGCACTCGGTCGGCTCTGACCTGAGCCCGTTCGGCTGGATGAGTTTTTCCCTGTGCCCCAGTTTCCCCGTCCCATAGCCACTCTGGGTGGATGCCCCAGTACCCCGTGTCTCTGTCTGGTTCTATCCCTAGACACTTGAGGCTCAGTGGGGGCCCCTGTCTTGTGCCCCTGGACACCTGTGGCTGGGGGAATGTCCTGTGTCTCGGCTTCTCCCTGGTACTCTCCTCCTTTAGGCAGGCCCCATTCCTCAGTTTCCCCGACCGCAAGTGGGATGGAATGGCTGGGATCCCGCTGGCAAAGGGCTGGGACACAGGCCCTCTCCGGTCAGCTGGCCTGGCCCCACGCCCCGCATGGGAGCCGAGCTCAGCAAGTCAGCCCCAGGGCTCTGACGCACAAGGCCCTTATCAGGTTCCCATCAGGTAGGGGAGACGGTGGCAGGAGACGGTGGCTCCTTCCAGACCCTTGATCTCTCTAGACTCTTGGCCTTTTCCCATGCCCCCGTCCCAGCCCAAACATGGGAAAGCCCGGCCCTCGGCCTTCACCTGAGCGGGCTGGTGCATGCATGCAGGCAGGCAGAGTTCAGCTCCTAGCTGTGTGACCTTAGGCGAGTGACTTTGCCTCTCTGGGCCCTGGTTTCCCCATGTGTAAAATGGAGATGCTAAGAGAACCACAGGCCTGGTACACAGAAAGCCCTCGACTGCCAGCTGCTATTGACAATAGTAACAAGTTGGGCCAGCTTGTAGCGTAGTGGTTAAGGCAACTGAATCCCATATGGCCAAGAGCAGAGTTTGAGTCCCGGGCCCGGTGACTTGAGAATCATGCCAGGTGTGTGTATGTGTGCCCAAAATCTGGAAAGGAGGATGGAGAAGGGATTGTGGCATGACCATCCTCGTGAGGGGTGCGTTCTCATGTTCTCTCTGTCTCTGTCTCTTTGGCAACCACATGTGCCCTCTGGCAAATTAAAATAAATATATAATAGTAATAACTCTAAAGATATCCTCCAGGTCAGAGCAGAATAGACACCCCCACCCCCACCCCTGACTCCGCCAAGATTTTAGGCAGAGTCTGGCTCTCTCTCCCTTAGAGGAGGAGAGAGATAACTCCCCACCCCAGAGCCTCCACAGCCCTGGAGATCCCAGGATGCTCTGAGAACAGTCCCTCTGAGGAAGGCAGTCAACAGCTAGGGAAACTGAGGCAGGCTGGTGGGATCCCCAGCTCAGTGATTCTTCTGGGGTGTGGGCCAGAGCTCACCTCGGCCCGGGAACTGGGTGGGGAGGGAGGAAGAGTGACCGAGACATGTAGGAACCAGGTACAACTCAACTCCCTTCCCAGGGGAAACAGGAGCCCTGCAACCCAGTGTTGGGGTCCAGTCGTGACACCACCAACCCCTCCTGGCCCCTCTCCTGGGCTGGTGGGGTGTCTGGAACTCAGCAATACGGGAACCCAGTTTCTGGAAAGGGTCATTTCCACCTTGGGTTGCTGCCAGCCCCCACTTCGGCCTCCCCGCCTGACAGGACCAGAATCTTTGACTTTCAGGGGCTCTGGGGGACTCCTCAGAAAGAGGGTGTCAGGCTTGCCCAGTCGCTGTATTCACCCAGTCATCCCCTGCTTTTCCTCAAGGTGCACGTTTATTAGCAGGAGGAAACTGATGAGGATGGGGGTGGCTCAAATTGCCCCAAACAGCTCTCCCTGGCCAAGCTGTAGTATTGGAGGGTCAGGGGGCAGGTTCCTGAGAACAAAGGTGAGCTACTCCTTGCTAGGAGCCCAAGGTTGGGGAGCTGGTTGATGCATAACCGAGCCCCTACCTGGACAATGGCCCCTGATGCATGTGCCCACTAACCACAGCCTCAAGGTAAACCCCCAAAGACCCTCCACCCTCATAGCTGGATGTGAACCCCCAAGACCCAGGTGGACACTCCCACCTACTGCCCAGGGGGAAACTGAGGTCCAGAGGGGAACAGGTTCAAGGTCACACTGCCAACGTCCTTCCCAAAGGATCCCACACCTGTCTTCGTAGCCGCCCAGTGAGGCAGGGGACTCTCCTCCTGCATTTTGCTGGTTTAGCAGCTGCTGGCTTAGCTGGGGGGAGGGGGTTGGGGGGAGCATCAGAACACCACCAGGACTGAGGGGAGCCCAAGGGTCCTCCGGCCGTCACACCTGGCTAGGGAGGGGGCTACAGGGCGGAATTGGCCCTTCCAGCACTGAGCATCCAGGGAAGGCCCACACAGCACTGGGAATTACGGGACTGGGGAGCTCCGCCTCAGCCAGAAGGACCCCAGAAGGCCACCTGGTGACACTCTGCAAACCCCAGCACCAGATGCACCCTGAACTTTGGGGTCTATCTGGACCCATCCTCCGTGTTCCTCCCCAGTGGTCCCCCCAAAGGCCGGCACCCAGGCCTACAGAAGCCTCACCTCGGGCAGCGCCTGGATAAGGAAGGGTCCCCCGCCCCCTCACCAGCTCTGACAGAATCTGACCTTCCATCCCCCTCTTCCACCCCGAGGACCCCCTTTAGTGCAGCCCAGGAACAAACACATCCTCCCTTCCCTGGGCGGGAGGGGTGTCCGCCGAGTCTGGGTGCCCCCTCGCGCCAGGGCAGGGATGGCCAGCGGACCTCTCGATCCCTGAAGGCCATCTCGCACCAAGGCGGGGTCTTCTATAAGAACCCACGCCCTCCTGCCGACCCGCCCTGGCACACGGAATGGGTGAGCCCAGCCCCACCCTATGCCTAGCGCGCCCCTCGCCCCCGGAGCGCCTCGGGGATACTCACACGTCCTTGGCGGGCAGCGCCCGGCCCTCCACCACGCGAACACTCAGGCAGCTGCTCCTGGCCATGGCGCCCAGCCCTAAACTTTCCCGGCAGGAGGGTGCCCAGGTTCCGAGGCTGGACCGGGGACGCCTACATGTCACCAGCTGCGAGCCTGGCGCCCTGCCACCGGGTCCCAACGCCGCCTGTCCGAAACACTGGTAGCTGGACGGGAGGTTCCCGAGAAGGAGGCGAAATCGGTGCCCGGGAAGGGGGCGCCCGCCCAGGCTCTACAGGTAGGGGCGGTGCTCTGAGCGAGCGGAGCGCGCAGGGGCCACCGCGGGCTCTCCTCTCCGCGTCTAGGAGCTCCGGGAAGGCGGGCCCCCTGCCCCCCTCGCGCGCCCTCTGCTGGCACCCCAGTCTTGCGCGCCAGAGCGCACCCGCCGCAGAGACCAGGGCGCGCCAGGGCTGGCTCTGCCAGGTAAGGAGAGGCCCCCGGTGGGCGTGGCCGCTGGCCCCGGGTGAGTTGGCCTCGGCCTCACAAGACACTGTCTGTCCCCTGTCCACTCCCTAGCCCACACGCTCGCACCTCTCCGCCCTCCGCGCACCTCCTCCTGGGTCGGACCTCGGCGCCCGGGGCTGGAGCCCTGTCTGCTCTCGGCAGGGAGAATCGCACGTTCCCTGGGGGCCCGATCGGAGTCAGGGAGGCCCGCGAACATCCCCTTCCCTCTGCTTCTACTTTCCAATTAAACCCAGACAGTGTGAGCGGCTGTTCGAACGTCACGGGCTGCCACTGCGGGGGAGGAAGCCGCGGCCAGGGGGGGAGGGGAAATCCCGAAGATAACCACAACTGCAGCGACCGTCACGGGCCTCCGCCACTGTGTGCCAGGCACGCTTTAGGGTGATGCTCCACGTCGTCCTCACAGTAACTGCGCGCTGCGCGCTACTGCACGATTACCCCACTTCATGGATTCAACAACTGAGGTTCCGAGGGATTACACAACCTGGTGGCGGGCTCCCAGACAAAGTGGTTGGCCTTCCTGGGACTGAATCCTGGATCGACCATTTGGTAGCTGTGTGGTCTTGGGCAGGTTGATTAACCTCTCTGTGCCTGGGTTTGATTTCTCCCTTGTTCAATCTGGGTAACATGGGGTCTCACAGGGTTTTGGGAGGATCCAATGAGATACTGCAGGGGAAGGCCTCAGAAGAGAGATGAGCACCTAATAAGCTTTCAAAAAGTGTAGGATGGGACCAGCAGGTGGTGTGGTGGTTAAAGGCACTGGACTCCCACATGGCTGACCATGGTTCGAGTCCTGGACCTGGTGGCTCGCTTTCTTCCTTTCTCTCTCTCTCTCTCTCTGTCTCTCTCTGATCAAACTGGAAAACAATAAAGTTAAATAACAAAACAAATCATTCTTTTTTAAAAAAGTGTCTGATGGGACCAGCAGATGGCCTAATGGTTACCTCACTGAGCCTCCCCCTGACCACGTTGGCCAACCAACCACGATTAGAATCTTGGGCTTGGCAGCTTAAAACTCACCCTGGGCATGTGCAAGTGTGTACCCAAAATCCCAAGGGGAGAATGGAAGAACAGGGGTTGAGGCGTTGCCATCCCCCTTAGGGGCTGATTTCTCACTTTCTGTCTCTGTGGTGAGTGCATACGCCTATAAGCAAAAATCTCTAAAAAAAGAAAGTGTCTGATACTGCTATTATTATCCTTCAAACTATGGCTCAAATGTCACTTCTCCTGGGACACCTTGCAGGTGCCCTTCTTGCCACCCAGGAATCTTTTTCCCTCGTTCTCTGCTCCTACGTTAAGTGAGATAATGTAGCCGGAAGAGACTGATACCAGACATGAAAGGTATACTTCTTTCTCCTTGGGAGGTCACCGCTGACCTGCGTAAGAGTTCTTGGAGGGCTGGCACTTAGCCTGACAGACGTTGGCCAGCTCGGGGCTGGGCACGATGGGAAGGGCCCAGAAAAGCGAGTGCAGAAGCCAACGCCCCTACCAGACCGGTGAGACCAGCACCACCCTGCCCAACCACAGGAACAGCCCAAATCTGCTTCCCAGTTTCCCTCCTGACTCCCTGCCCAGCACCCAGCCAGGCTGGCGAGGAATTTGGATCCTGGAATTATCTCCCTCGCTAGTAGCTACCCAGCGAGTCTTACGACCCCTAAAACTGGGTCTTGGTTATCCCATCTGAGAAATGGATCTTGCAGAACTGACCCCGAAGCTTAGAAGTATTACAATATGTGGGACCAGCATATGGCGTAATGGTTATATTTCTGGACTCCCACATGGGGACCAGCAGTTAGCGTAATGGCTATGTCGCTGAACTCCCATGTAGCCGACCACAGTTCGAGTCCTGGACCTGGCAGCTTAAACTCACACCGGGCGCGTGTGCGTGTGTGCCCAATATCCTGAGAGGAGAATGGAGGAGAAGGGATTGAGGCATGGCCATCCCCCCTGAGGGGTAATTTCTCGCTTTCTAT